AGTCAGTGGAGGGGGTTGGGGCCCACAGGCCATTTCGGAGGCCAGGCGGATATCTGTGTCCACCGTGGTGGGAGTGTGGACGGGCCACGTGGTTGCTGGTGGCTGTGTTTGGGAGGGTGACTTTCCGTGTCTCAGAGACGTTGCCTGGGTTCCGTGACGGGAGTTTTGTGTTTGCCGTGGAACCTGTGTGAGAGTCAGGCCGACCCCACCCCCTCCTCTCCCGCTGAATTGGAAACAGTCAGTCAGAAACTTAGTTTTATTGGTAAAGATAGGCTTTGAGGTTCTCACTTGAATTTAATCATTAATTTGCCAGCATTCTCTCTCCTGGAGTGGCCTGAGAATTGGGACCTGTTAAAGCACTCACTCCGCGTTGCACACGTACACGTAGCAATTCCTTTCCTGATGGGTGCAGTAGGTCACTTTTAGCTCTTTTCTTATGACTCATGTCTCAGGAGGTGCTGAGGCCCCTGTCAGGGGAGGAAATCAAGCCCAAGTAAGATTGACCATTTGGTGGAATGTCTGTGGTCCCTTTGAACCCCAGGGCCCTGTGATTCTGGGGTGTACCCCTTCCTGCTCCCCAGGTCCTGCTGCTGGCGCTGTCCCCCAGGTTCCTGGGCACTGGGTGTGAGCTCCTCTGTCCTCGCTTCCTCTGGTACCTTTCCTTCCTCCGCTTTGCCCAGTGACTTACCTGAACCTCTCTTGGGGTTGGACCCTGTTCTGTGTGTTTTAGGGAGGTTGGTGGGCTGCATCTTAGCCCTCTTTTCGGAGGAATGGCCCGTTTTTGAGGACAGGGCTCTGTCTTGGGGGCCCTGTCCCCAGTGCCTGGCCCTGCCGCTCTGGGGGCCTCCAGGGACGCCAGTGCTGAGACTGAGGGGAGGCCCTGGCTGAGTGATGCCCAGGCTCCCACGGTGGGAACGTGTGAGCAGGAGAGATTTAACGTTGCATTAAAAACAGGCATCTCTTTCATTGCAGTTTTGCCAGAGAGAGTTACTAGGGATCGATTTTTTTCTCTCCACTTTTTTAGCTGAGCTAACAGAGTAATTCCCCTGTCTCCCTAGAGACATACCTTTCCTGCTTGTGGTGTTTGTGTCTGAGATTCTCAGTTTATCGGCTGACTTGAAGGAAAGTGCCTTTGGTTTGAGCCATCACAGAGGCCGTTTCCTCCCCAGAAAACAAGCACATGACCGTCCTGGAGAGCTGCAGCCTGCAGTACAGCCTGAGGCCGCACCCGGCCCTGGAGCCCGCCTTCCATCTCCTGCCCGAGCACCTCCTGGTGTCCGGCCTGCAGCCTGTGCCCGGCCTCCTTCCGGCCCCCGGGGACTCGGGTAAGGGCGGCTTCGTTCTCTGCACTCGTTAGTCCGCGGCCCGACCGCGGGACTGGGCTCCGTGGGTACCAGCACCTCCCCGCGAACAGCCTGGGGGTGGGGGAGGAGGGTGTGGGCAGTGCCACGGCTGTCTGCTGTCTGCAGCCCCCCCGGACCCTCCCCCATCCCTCACGCCGCCTCCGTCTTCTTTCCTCCGGAAACGGCTTCATAGGAAAAGTGGTTCATGTCTTGATGACTGTGGCTGGGAAAACCTCTGTCGCCGGTGTGGCCTTACTGGACCTCAGCGTCGGCGGCTTGGGTAGTGTCATTGTCATTATTTTTGTTAATACTCGCCGAAGGCTATATTTTCCATTGATTTTTTTTTTTTTTTTTTTAAGAGAGAGTAGAAGTGGGGAGAGAGAGAACCATCGATGTGAGAGAGACACATTGGTTGGTTGCCTCCTGCACGTGCCCTGAGCAGGGTCAGGGATGGAGCCTGCAACCGAGGTACATGCCCTTGACCGGGAATCGAACCCGAGACCCTCCCCTGCGCGGCCGACGCCCTAGCGCCTGAGCCGCACCGGCCAGGGCACGGGCTGTGTTCCTGCTGGAGAGGAAGGAGGTGACGAGGGGGAGCCGAGCTGAAGGGAATGGGAGCCCCTCATTCTGTCCCGTGTCCTGCGTCGCCAAGTGTAATGTTCCGGGAGGAGGTTTGGGGTAGAATGTGGACCACAAATGAAAGTTCCATTAAAAAAAAAAAAAAAATTCTCTCTACTGTTGGAAGTATTACAGGTGTCCCCCTTCCTCCTCCCACCCCTGCCCCCTCCCCAGGCC